GCTGGTACCTATCTTCTGTTGTGGATCTCACAGCCAGTCAGCATTGTTAAAAAGACACGAGAGATGTGGAACTGCTGGAAGCCAACCACACTATGCTCTAATTTCATACACTGATGGGAGGCAATCAAATGTTTCACTCAGAGATCTGATACCTTCTAGAGAGGTATAGGACTCACTAAAAAAATCCCCCTTCTTTGAGCCTTTAAACTTCTCCACTAATAGCATCAATGATATGCTACCTGTGGATTCTTATAAGGAGTAAAGCCCAAAAAATTGGAATCAGCTACATAAAAGTGAGAGCATACAAACTCTGACAGTGGTGACTCACTTTCAGACACTGAATATCCTACTCTGAATAGGAGACAGAAAAGAGTGAGGTCAAGATACTTCCAGGTAACACTCCCTGCAGGGTCCAAATTCTCTGACCAAAAACTACTGCAATGTTCCAAACAGATTTCAAAAAGTCATTAAGATGACTAAATCACCTTCAACTGAATAATATTGAGTCAGGAAGAATGTAATGAAGGCAGCCCTAGTTGTCTCCCCCTCAAATTACTTGATTATAAGAGAAATGGTTGAACCTCACTTATTAGCTGTAATCAAATTGTATTGAATAAGGCTTCACTATGAACTTAAACGTTCATCTGTTTTTCTTTACAGTATGCATGTAAATCATGGTGGACAAATGAAATTTAATCAGCTTCTAACTTCAATAATGCGAAGCTGTTGCATAATCTTCTTCAATAAGTTCATAGTCCATCTTCCTCTCCAGTGTCATCATTGCACATGAACAAATGCTAAAGAGCTTGTGGTAGAGTTGACAGTTATTTATATCTGACTCCAAATAATTATCTTTCACCAACAAAAATAGAGATTTTTCAAAGTTGAGTTAAAGCAAGTTTGAGATTAAATTCAAATAATCTAAAAGAAATAAAAGATAAAATTCTGGTTTCAAATAAATTAGCAATAATTATTTTAACAAATAATACAAAATCATTTAAATTTGTCTTGTGAAATGAAATGAGTCATAGATGTTAAAGTGTTGGTAGGTAATATTATACATCTATTTTTATTTAGTTTATTATTATTGTTATAATTATTATTTTTTTTGTTGTAAGTTTTGTATGCCTTTTTCTCATTATTGTGAATGAAATAGTTTTTTTGAATGAACAGTCACAGTTGTTCCTTATAATATATTAGTGGAACTTGCTGAAATTAAAAAAAAAACAATGTATTTATGAACATAACAATTTATCCAATGCATTAATAATACACAGAAATAATTTCATCCACAATTTTGATCTAAAAATGTTGTACTTATTCAAAGAGAAAATAACTTAGTCAAAAAATTCTTGAAAGTGCAATTACTGATTCTTCCCAAAATGTTAACTTAACCCCAGATTTTTTTTCAAATATCACCTTTCTTAAAGGAAATGTTCCTTTCTCAAGCCAACATATATGACCAGAAACATTTTTTAAAAATGGTTAACTCAAGACCTTTAAATATTTAAAATAAATAAATTAATATATAAATAATTAAACAAAATAAAATACACAGAAATAAATAATTACATTACAAAATAAAATAAAAATTCAACATTTACTTACTTTTGTCTATCAGGCAATAAATTATATCACTTAGAGCCCTCTATAGTTTACCTTTCTTTAAACAGCAAACTTTAAGAATATTTTAGAGTATTCTCAAATTAAAAATTTGAAAACTTAATATTTTTCCTCCATGTTACTTTAGTGCATAAATAAAAGTTATAAAATAAAATTTCTGCATTTGATAAGGAACAAAATGTGTTGGTATCGAAAAGTTTTCCTTTTGTCTTTTCTTTTATAGATAGATAGATGATAATATTATTGGGTAATGGATAATTCCAAAGAGGATACAGATCCAGAGAGAGCTCAGTGTAAGAAAAGAAGAATATTATTTAATTGTATTTAAAATATTCAACAATATATTTCTTTCTTGCTTAATATTAGTTTTGCTACTTTACTCACTTTTTTTTCTTTTAATAGAAATATCTGCTTAAACAAAGTCAATGAAAGGACAATGTTTACTATCATGCATATTCATAGATGACTGAAAATATACAACAGCTTTGATTGCATGATATGGCCTAACATAGCTATCATTCTGTTCTATCAAGTTCTCAGACTGAGATAGATAATAAGACTCATAAATAGAAATGAGATAGGTTTACTTTGAGACAAATATCCTCCCACAATGTCTGTGTATGTGTGAGAGAGATAAAGGAAATAAAAAGTTTTCAGTTTTATGTTCAAGTTATATAACTATATTTACATCTAAGAATGTGGTTCTATGAAAAAAAAAAACTTGTAAAGCAGGATAGTCAGTGACAAACATTATACATTAAGGAATGAAAGTAAGGCTGTATATATTTTTTGATAATTTTTAACAGCTTTGCTTGACATACTTTAATTAAAAAATGCATATAATTATCTCTGAATCATTAATTAGTAAATAAAGAGCTGATAAAAAACAATGTTTATTGTAAGGAGTGATAACGTAAAGTTCTCAGATAATCAAGAATTAGATAGAGCCATGCAACAATTCCACATATTCAACATACTTGACATATCATTTTTCAAGTCACTTTAATTCTTTTGATGTTTGCTTATTAAAATATTTAGAGAAATAGGTGGGACAAGAAGAACTTCTCACTACCTCTCTTGTATCTTTACTAAATGGCTTGTGAGGTGGTTGAGATAGTTATACTTTGACTTTCCATATCTGTAGTCAGTTATACAATAGTTCAGAAGAAAAATTTAATTTTGGAACTTTCTCAACTATTCTTTATTAACCATTTATTTTGTCCAAAGTTGTATATATTTTTTATCTTTTGTTTTTTGTTATGTTTGCTACCCTTCTTATCTTCAGTGTATTAAACTTGGAATGGATTTCTGAAAAAAAAATGTAAATATGATCTGTACAATGTTTTGATATAAATGAGAAGGCAAAACATCAATTGAATAATAGCACAAGCATCCCAGAAGGTAACTAACATGTTTGGAGGAATAGGAATGGTTTCCTAAAAAAATTCACATAAATCGGAGATCAAACTGAAATGGTGCATTCAAAAGACAAATTATTAACTGTGTAAAAAAAAAAAAAAAAGAAAAAAAAAGAAAAAAATGGGCATGGAGGTTAATTTTGTTGTATGACTAGCACTTTAAATCCATTGATGATAAAGATTTTACTGGACTATATTCTTTCAACCTCTTTCATATGGATGGTTACTTCTACAAGAACATCTGCAATAATAATAATAGATAGAAGTTTTCAATAAATTCGGCATCGCTTTGAAATAAATCAGTTTACTTTAAAGAAGTGATGACAATATGAAATAAATATTGGATTAAAATCAAAAGAAAAATATTTTTATTAAATAAAGTATTTTGTTTTGTATAAATCTGCATTTATACAACAACATAACGAACCTAGTAGGGGAAAAACATTCACAATCATTCACCATATGTTGTTGTTACACAAACAGGCGTACATATGCTTTTTTTCTTCGACACAATTCTTTTTGTAACATTTTTTTACAGATCTCCATAAAAATGCTGAAAATAGCTTTTAATTCGCAAGCATTTTTCTCCTTGCAAACTATATCAAATACTATCAAACTTTGTGTTTTACTTTATGCAATATGGGATATTTGAGTTTAAAAAAATCTTTAATTTCACATACTTTCATTATAGCAACACATTCGTTTTTTCACAACCTTGAAATGAAGTCAATGTCAAAATTAGATCTTTTTCCCCTGGGAAGTGAATAAAAAAAGTCATAATTAAATTAATTAATTAACATTAGCTACCAAGTTCTTAAATAACATTTCAACAAAAACTGCAATGACGTGAGTAGTAGTAATTTTTAGTTACTTTATTTACGATCCACAAAATTTCTATTTCTCATCATATTTTTTCCACTTTTAAAATGAAATCCCTTAATTTTTCTGTGAGCATCAATAACGGGCGCATTTTGCAAAAGTTGATATCTCTAAGTTACCAATTAAAAAAATATGTCTTTATTACTCTTTAAAGTTTTGAAGAGGGTCAGGATAATCTCAAGTTCCTTGAGTTTACTTTAAATTTTTGTCACTTCATTCCATATTGATCATTCGGTATAATCTGGTAATCAACAAAATTCTCTAATCGATGCTTCTTTATTGGATTCACCAAGTTCGAAATAATACGTTAATAATACACAGACGATTTTTTAAATGTTTTACAATTACAATTTATCACAGGATACATTTTTGTTGTGCCTGTCAGTGGACATATTGATAAATTAATTAGCAAAATAAAGTATTAATTATCTCATTCGAATCACTTTCAAAAAAGTGGCAGAATTCGTACTCAGTAAATAAAAAAACAAAAATAAATAAATAAATTAGAGCAGCAGCAATTATTCAATATTTACAGAAAACGAGCAATTCGTAAATCGTAATCGCTACTTTTTTTTGATCTGTTCGTGTGCTTAATTGTTTGTTGAATTTTGATTTAATTTGCTTTATTATTCACAACCGCATCGGCCACGTGGTTGAGACTTATTTTAAATCGTAAAATGGGACGACTGAACTTTTTCGTAGTGACAAATAACTTATTGATTGGATGAAGCACAACTAAATAATTTATCTTCATCAAACAATAGCAGCAACATTAAACCAGGACTTTAAAATATTTTTAATTTTATTTTTAACTTATGAAAGAAAAAAAAAATCTGTCGTAAAAACAGGTTTCTATCATTGAAAACGACAACATAAATTTAGTACTCTTCTTAATTGAGCCACGTGCAGTGCAAAGGACTACCACGAAATAACAACTGGAACGTCTTCTTACTTAAATATTCAGTATTTTTTTGCGGGGAGTTCACTTTCAAATATTTGGTCATGGAGCAATTTATGGCTTATCGTAGTCCTCTAGTTTCTCGTTATGCCAGTCCAGAAATGTCTTATAACTTTAGTGAAATGAAAAAATTTAGCACTTGGCGTCGTCTTTGGCTATGGCTTGCAACTTCTCAAAAGGTGAGTTTTCTTTAAAAGAAAAGAAAAGAAAAAGACAATTGTTTAATTAAAAAAAAAAAAAAAATGATTGCCTCAGTATAAATAAAATTATTACCACGTTTTTCTAAGCAACATAAAAATAAAACGAATTACTATTTTAATGTGTTTCACTTTTAGCACTTTTTTATTTTTCTGAAATGTGGCAACGCAAATATAACTTAAAATTATCTTTGTGTTCTACGTCAAACTTTCTATGTGATACAAGAACTTAAATAAAAACAAGCAAGCAATCCTAATCTTCACCTTCATAGGTTTCAATTTCAAGGATCACAAGAAATTTTTCTAACAAACGTTTTTTAAGTAAAATTTTAAAACGTTTGTTTTTTTACTTGAGGACATTTAGATTTCGAAGGAAAAAATATCTATCATGCACTCTGCAAAAGAATAAAGATCTGAAGCGCTTTAAATGTAAAAATTAAAAACAAGAGAATATCTTTTAAGAGATTTATGGTTAAAGCACCAAAATAACCATCTGGCTAAAAAAATAAATAACTTTCGAAATGTTTATATTTCTTTTTGACTTTGTGTGTATGTATTGAGTGTTTTTTTTTTTTTGTTTTTTTTTTTTTTGAATTTAGCTCATTGTTCTATCTATAGCCTCGAAAAGAAGTTTATTGCTGTTGCTGGTGAAACATTCATAAATAAGAAAACACTTTTTTTTTTTTGTACTTAATTTATTTTTCTCTTGTTGACGTGGGAATTTAAATTCGTCCTCCTCCTCCTCCCAGCGTATTACCAGAACTTAAAGAGCATGAAAGTGAAAAATAATTTTCACATTTCTTATTAAAAGAAAAACTTTCCCCTATTTCAAAATATGACATTTTAATAATATTTTATCAAAATAATTTGACCAAATTAGCGCCTCTGTACAGCTACTACTTCACTGGTTTTGATTGAACTGATGGGACCTTCATCTCAAGCACTTGCTGACTTATCTACAATCGCAAAAAGGATTTTTTTAAAGTATTTAATGAAACAAATATAGACGAAATCATTATGCATAATTTTAACCAAAATATTTTTAAACAGCTGAAGTAGCCATATGATTGATAATCGCCTTGAAAGGAAATATTCAGATGCACATAATTCTAACAATAAAATTTTTAAAACATCGTTCTTTTCTTTTGGAAATGCTTTGTTAATGAAAATCTTTTTTGATTTAAAAGATATGCAAGGATTTTAATTTTTTTTTTTTTTTTTAACCAAAAACTGAAAGCGGAAAAATGTTTTGATTTCTGCCATTCATCCATTGAATTTAATTTTAGCTTACCATTTTTTTTATAAAAAAAAATCGGCAAGAAGAGAATCTTGTATCGGTAGTTGGAAAGCGTGTTGAACAGATATTTTTTTTTTATTTAACTTCAGCTTGGACTAAATTTTTCATCGATTCTTAGTTGCAACGATTTGTTACAAAACGTGTCCTAAAAAAACTTAACATTTTTAAAGTTGAAGCATTTTGTTGACACTTGGCTATATAGTTGTACACAACACTGTACAGTACACTGTTGCGTTACACAAAAAACACATGGTAATTTTTTTTTAGTGTTGTTACCCAACCGTCGTAATTTAGGAAAGAGGAGCAAAAAAAGAATATCCAATTTACTTTTACACCATATTGCAGACAATAACCTTGACTCGACTCTTTAAGTCAGTTCAATGTAGAGGTCCTGCCTAGGTGAGAGTGATAGATTTCCAGAAACGAGACAAAAGTAAAACTTCTAAAAATTATCCAGAATCAAGAATAATTAAAGATTTGGCAAAAACAAAAAAAAAAACCCCAAAAAAACGACCGTCGCAAACGTTGTAGCACTTTGACTTATTTATTCAATTTTTTTTTTACCGCCAAAACTGAATGTGTTAACTTAAAAATTTCATTCACATCAAAATATTGATGAGGAGAGGTATGAAACTGCTGAAGCGAAATGTTAGGTATCTTTATTTTTTTCGTTTTTAAATACATTAAAAATGTCAATCGACTTTAATAACGATTCGAATTTCGTGATTGGAAAAGTTTGGAGGGATACAACATCGTCTTTTTACTTTCTTTAGTTATTTTTTTTTAATAAAAGGCGATAAAGAAAAACTCTACAACAGTGGATAATTTTGGATCATCGAAGTAAAAATAAACTAAAACGCGTTTATGTTCACATGAAATTTATGGTCAAAACGTAAACATTATTTCGTCGGAATTCCTTATAATTCCACTCCAGTATTCTCAGACGGCCCTAAAGCTAGTGTAAAGTTTGATATTTTAGGTCACAACTACTGAAAAAAAAAAAAAAAAGTAAATTTATACATTTTAAACCGAAAAAAAAGTCTTCAAGTAGTTATTTGTTGCAAAATAAAGACGGTAGACTTTCTATTCTTTTTTTTTTTTTTCGTCGTCACGTAGTTTGATGAAGAAGCCTCGGTCTATTTGTAAAGAAAGATTAAAGAGCTCCAAACTCCCAAGAGAAATTCTGTGACGTCATATCCACACTGAAGGAAAAAGTGAAACTTGTTAATTTTTATAAAAATTAGTGCGACTTGATGAGTCCACTTATAAAAAAAAAAAAAAAAAATAGAAATATTTTTTTTTATAGATTTTTAGGTAAATTTGGTTTTTAAGCCCCGCGCTAAATATCTAAAAATAAAATCTTTCAAATCGTCATATTCCGTGTAAATGTACATGCTGAACTCGAAATAACAATTAAATTTTAATAAAAGCAACCGTTTTGGAGTTATCGACAATAAAGTTTCGGATTCAGTCGCGTTCAGCCGTCGGCCATTACATTCACTGCGGAACATTTTGCGCGCGGAATCTTAATTAACGGCCTTTTTACTGCTTTTAACTGATCATACTCGTCTAAAAATTACTGCGCACTTAAGTTGTGTCGGAAAGCGATGACAAGTTTTTTTTTTTTTTACACCTCCTTTTCCGTGTAAAAAAAAAAAGCAATGACAACTGTTGTAAAGCTTTTATTTTAAATTAAAAATAAAACAAACAAAAAAATAATGAGCAAACTTTGTAATATTTACAAAATAAAATTACAGAAAAAAAGAAATTCTAGAAAGGAAATAATAATTAATGACCAAAGTCCGCGCAAAGTGTGTGCATTAATTATTAATGTATATTAATTAATTATTATATTGATAATGTTTACAAAGTTTGCGCGTGCATGAACTTTGTAAACAGTAAAGAGCATGATTATCTACAAAATAAAAATTGCTAGAAACGAAAATGCGTAAACTTTGTAAAGAGCATGATTTTTCTTTTTACAAAATAATGCTAGGAAGGAGCATTTCTTTTTATTTTGTAAATAATCATGCTCTTAATGTTTGTGCAAACTTTGCACATTATTAATTATTATTTGTTTTATTTTTAATTTAAAAGACAAGCTTTTTATTTTATTATTTAATTTGTTTTTTTTTTTTTCATTTAAAAAGAAAGATTTACTATAAAAAAAAAAACAACAGTTGAAAAAAAAAAAACAACACTTGTCATCGCTTTCCGACATAACTTAAGTGCGCAGTAATTTAGATGAGTATGAGCAGTTTAAAAGCAGTAAAAAGGCTGTTAAGTTTCCATGTGCAAAATGTTCCGCAGTGAATGTAGTTAAACAAAACAAGGCCATTAATAGCTGACGGCTGAACGCGAATTTTTATTGTTGATAATTCCAAAATGGTAGATTTGTTATTTCGAGTTCAGCATGTACATTTACATTGAAATATGATGATTTGGGAAAATTTTAATAGATATTTAGCACAGGGCTCAAAAGCAAATTTACCATTAGACATTTGTCAGGAGCGAAAAATATATATTTATTTTTCTTTAAATTTGAATAATTTTCATCATAATATCAATGCAGTTGTCAGGTCGTCTGGACGTTTCCATCTTGGGAGTCAAATGACCAAAATCAGTTATTTATGCATAGGCTCCGAGTTGCACTTCCAGTAGCATTGAAAACATTCAAAATATAATATAAATTATTAATTGACCACTGGCAGCGTTTCCCTCACATTTTTGAGGGACATTTTTGTGATTCACTACCTGCTTAAGGAAAGCTATAAATTTCCATTTTCAGAGGTTTATTTAAACACATCTAAATGTGTGTATATAACTTTACCTTTCAAAGGGCTTTTGTTAAACACACCAAAATGTGTGTATTATCTTTTCCCTTTTTAAATGTGAATATGTGAACTTAACCTTCTTTTCAAGAGTCTTATTATATTCACCATTCAATGTATGAAATATCCAAATTGTTATTTCTTGATAAGCAAATCTTTATCTTTTTTATTTTAAATTCACTTGCCTTGCTTCATCATTGTGTTGTACATTGGGATAAGATTGCTTTAGTCTGGACAGCACCCAGAATAATTAGTAATCACTGCCACTATGTTATGAGTTAGCCACAAGAACCAAACACTTTCTGCACCCAATAAATCAACTAGTCCAGTAAATTCTCCTGAGAAAGTCAGCACCTGCAACACTGTAAAATCTATCACTGACCTTTTATTGATAAAAAGTTATGTCTGTTGCTTTAAACCTCCTTGAATAGAAAAAATAATTGTTGGTAGATTTTTATAAAAAAATTCTATTGTCATCAAATAACTGAAAGACAAAAGTGAATTCTCATGAAACTTGATGTTACTTGACAAGCAGTACTTGTGATAATCATAGTTTTATTTATTACTGGCTCAAAAGCCACCCTACTGGGTGGTATTTAATCTAGCTCTTGCGAAGAGCTCTTGATTGTGCCTTCAACTTGTTCAGGAGTTTGAGAGTTCTTAATACTTATTCTCTGCAGTAGAAGCTCTCCTGGCTGCCATTAGGTGATCTAGGTTTTCATTTACATGGGACTTTCTTTTCCTTGCTGCAGCCTTATCTCTCTTCATTGCAATCTGGTTCTCTGTTGATGGAAATTTGTTTTTGCAAGGCAGTATGCAACAATAAACTACTGAAGAACTTGAAATTGATCACT